GCAGGCTCGCAACCTCTCGCTCCAACAGGTCCAGGCGGTCCGCAAGACGAGCGAGCTCGTTCTGATTCCCGGCCTGGGCGGCAGCATCACCGCCAGTCCCAAGGCCAAGTGCAATCTCAAGCACGAGGACACGTTGACGGAGGCGGTCAACCTCAGGGCCCTGTGTCGGACCCGCCGCCGGAACACTCGGACGAGAATGGCAGTCGGGAGGCGCCGAGTACTCGTACTCGTACGAGGGCACCTCCGCACCTGCTTGACCGGAGTGGAGAAGTCTACTTCCACGTGGAGCGGATCCTCCAGGAGCAACGGCGTCGCGGTAAGCGACAGCTCCTCGTGAAGTGGAGGGGTTATGCCCACTCCGAGAACTCGTGGGGGTTGATTGAACGACTCCTGATTGACTGTCAGAAGGCTGTCGCAATCGGAGAACAGAAGCGGCGGCAGCTTCATTAGTAGTCCGGGGTTTTTTGCCCGAACGGGGTACGATGAATACACTTCGTACCCGCGCTCATCGTGAGCGCTGGAAGCCGCACGCCCTTGGTAGCATGCGCTTGCTGACCAAGTGGGCAAACCGAACACGAAGACCACGCTGGTCCAGATTGCAGGACATCAGCTGATCTTCATGGAGCTCCCGTAACTCCGTGGGTGAGTACTTGAGAGACGCTACCCACGCCCAGAACATGTCCTCACAAGACCTCCAGTTGGGACAGTTCTCGGGCATAACCCCGGGGTATCGCCAGAGGATAGAGACCACCTCGGATCTCGGGGCTTCTTACGACAAGTCGTAAAGTCCTTAAGGGGGGGGGTGCGGGTGTGGCGCGAGAAGCACACACCGAGCAGCCGCCAAGTTGTCAGCAAACAACGGTTCCTTCTGAACAAGGGCACTTTCGTAAATGCCCCTAGAAGTGTGGCCGCCCACAAGGCCACGAGGAGCGACGAGAAGCTTTAGGAAGAGGTCAGCCCCAGAGCTCTCCTCGGGAGGCCAATACCCTCTTGAGTTGATGGCAGCTCCCTGGCTGACGGGTGCCACCGCCGAACCCCCACGCACACGTTGGGCAGCTTGGAATTCTCCTACTGCTGATCGAGGTCATTCATGACCTCCCGGGGCTCAGAGATAGCATCCTCCTCCTCCTCTTCTTCCTCCTTCTCTTCCTCTTAATCCGAGGCGTCGAAGAGGCCCCGATAAGAGTGCCGAGTCTCCTTCTCCTCGCGGATAGGAGACTTAGAGGCTGTACGCTTCTTTGAGGGCTTGGAGCCTTCGGCTTCAGAGGCCTTAGCACGCGCAAGACCCTCGGCAATCGAGAGACGTTTGCGAGGATTTTCGTCCTCATCGCCACCAGCTTTGGGGGTGCCCTTAGCCTTGACGGCCGGACTCTCAGAGCGCACAGACGTCCTGGGACTGTGATCACCTTGATCACTATCGATCGACTGCACGCTGTCATCCTTGGGCTCACTGAACACTGGGCTGTTCCCTTCCGCAGAGCTTGCGGGAGCATCGTGCGTGCATTCGGACTCGGCTTCGTCCTCACTGCCAGCGTTGAACTCACGTTCTACGAACCGAGGGTTCGGACGATTGTCTGGAGAGGCCGAGGGCGTGGGCTTGCGGCGCCTGCTTGTTCGCTTGCCCACAGTCGCGTCCCCCGAGGAACCGATTGCCTCGGAGGCCACCTGAGTAGCCTCCTTAAGAGCCTAGTCTTTGCCGTGAGGCTTGTGCTCTTAACTTGCGCCTTCCTGGCAGTAGCCATGGAGCAAGTCTTCGCACCGCTCTTTGCAGTGCCACGAGGCATGGTAAACGGTCGAAGTGGAGACCTAGAAGAAGAGCGCACAGACTGCTGCTCGAGGCTCTAACTGTGAAGTGAGCCTCCGCCGCGCTCGCGCGGCCAAGTCGATGGTTTTCGACTTTGAGAATGAAAGTTTGTGACGAACACCTCTTGATTCTAATTGGTCGTGAAACCGAACCTAAGTGGGGGAGGATGTAACGGTGTACGTAGCCCTAAGTGTACCCTGGTTACATGAAGTGAGACACGTCATACTTCGGGATATTTGGTACAAAGTACCAAGGTCGTTCAAAGCCAACCATTGGTTGATGACGTTGCATCTCTATAGGTGACTTATAGTTTGTATTAAACCCAAGCTTTATCTACCTAGAAATATACTCAGTTTACATTCGACCTTAATTAGGTCACTTCGCTCTCTTTTGGCCTGTGAACTGCCGTTTACTGAGAGTTTGTATACTCTCGGAAGCTAACTTCCTTTAGCGCAAGGTGCTGTGTGACCCAGTCGCACAATGCATGTGTAGATGCAGCGATTGGGTTAGCTGCCGACTTACCGCTAATAATATTAGTGTGAGCTCTCACTTTTCAAAGATTGTGAACCGCCTAGATCAATTTCGGCGCATCATCTGTGCAATGCATTTACTCCCTTTGGTTTGCAAAGCTGGCGATTATGCTTCTTTTATATAAAGTTGGCTGGCAAACAAAAACAATATACGAGTAATAAGAAGCACAATCAATTTTATAATAGCGTAAGCTGTACTATGTTTTCATTCGAACATCGATCTATATAATTAATGTACAAATGCGTTCTGGATCGAAGGCCAGGGAAATGCTCGAGGGAGGCTTCGAGGCAGGAGAACCAACAAATTTTAAGGTTAGTGTAAGACGGATTTGTGCGCAAGGATATATTGAATACTCGAAATTTTTATCATTCCTAGCTGTTTTGCCAAAATACTACTCTCCAAATAATATTTGGATGATATGAATTTCTGCCAAGCTACTGAGTTTTTCTGCCAGTAATAAAAACAAGAATCTAAGATCCAAATCTCGGTACTTATTACTGATTTATGCAGTTTGCGCTTTCAAGAGATGGGATAGATAGTAATAGTAAGATCTTGACCCTGAGTATTTTTCGTTATAAGATCAAACTGAAAATGAACAGAATAGCAAGGTCGAAGTAATCAAACAATTTGCTCATTTTTGAACAACTGGCTTACTGCTCCTCTCATTGCCTCTCATTTCCTCGTTTCGATTTCGCTCACCACTTAACGTATGAGCTGCGAGATTGTTAGTGTTTGTCCCGCCATATTGCCGCCTTCTTGAGAAACTTCTTCATTTCCTTTTCCTTCTTGTAAGCTTCTTGGCCATGTCCCTCTAATCCCAAGTACTTGTACAGTTCTTTAGGATTCATTTTGCCCGCTTTGTACTTCACCCAGTCCCCTAACTCCTTAAATCATCTCTCTTCTTGGTTGTCGCCATCCCCAGCATTGCCATCTTCCGTGGGACGGGCCCTCAAGTACCGCAGACTGAGGTCTTGGTTTTGCTGTCCTCTTGGAGCAGGAGCCAAAACCCTCATCGCCGACTGTGTGGCCTCGGTGGCAGTGGTGGACAATGGTGGCAGGGCTGTGCCCGAGAATAGCTGCTGTTGCTATCAACCCGAGATAGATCAGACGCATTGACGAGGATTGTTGAGGCTTGACCTGTCGAAAGAAAAAAGGGAAGTGAGGAAGTGAATCAACGAAGCGATAATCTGAACACGATGCCAGCTAAGTTAAATAAGAGATCGCTTCTTTTATACTTCGAGGTGCTGTCCGTTTACAGCTCATTAAAGCTGTTTACGATACGAAAAGGATTACGTTACGTATCGTAACTTTGAGAAAGGCACCGATAAACTCCGCAGAAGCTCCGATCTTATGTTGAGGCACAGGTCATAGCGACCTGGTCTGTTTTTCAAAGACCAGCTGGTTTTTAAGGGCTACATGTATCTGCCAGCAAAGTTACGCGATACCAAACTGTACACTCTTTAGCACCTTGACACCCGAGCTGTCCGTCAGTGACTATAATAGCGTTTCTTGCAGTATCCTGCTGTTATTTCCAATTTGGCTTGCTCACTGAGCACCTCTCAGAAACTATTATAGGCCACTTCGTCATTTGCGGTTTACTTGGCAAGTTTGTAATATATGATTACAGACGCACTTACCAAGTAAACAGCAAACAGAAGGGACTAATCATTTTTAATACTTCTAATCAAATATCAAATGATGTTTTTAGGTTGATTGTACTATTTTGATTTTAAATATTTTTACAATTAGTAGCTCACATTATCTGAAGTTGATATGATATTTGAATATTTGTTTGAGATTTGATAATATCTCCGGTATAGAACCGGAGATAGTATGCATCCTTAAATGAGCGTCAGCGCTCCCCAAAGTCGATAAGGGCAAATACATACCTTTGCGTGGTGTTCGACACACATTTTTCTATTTGAATTAATGCCTTTTGGTCTGTATGTACTTCATTCTGAAGCACTACCAGGAAAAACTACTATTAATCGTATGAGCTAACCCATCTTCATAAAGGCATTTTATTTTAATAGAACAATTACGACAAATTCGCAAGATATTACAACATAATTTTTTCATTCGATGCAGCGTTATTGTAAATTTCGCACAAACTTGAATATTCTGAGCGGTAAAGCATACCTTTCCAAGCATCCACATACAAAAATCAAGTCTGCTTGGTTCTCCCACCGGTATAAGCATACCCTTTCAACAAGTATAAACTCACTTCTCTATTCGAAAACATACGGCCACATCAAATCAAAAATTAAAGCTCTAGACATAAAAAAAGTAAATTCCTCGTCTTTTAACGTCGTAAGATACGACATCATCAAAATTGTACGCCGAGTCTTACAACATACGAAGAAAAACAATTGAATTTGGCTCAAAAATGCTTCTGGTTTACTTTAATCAAGCCATTTCTGAAAAAAAAGGCACATCTATTTTGAGTGTCCGAAAATGGAGATAGCTTTTTTTAGCCAACATATATCGGGTATTAGACATATTGAAGACCACAATTGCTTAAAAGGGCTCTTAAATCGCGATTCGTACTTATGTTCGCTAACTTCTTATTGTTGGACGAGTCGTTGCTAAGAAAATGCAAATTATCTCTTTTAAGTGCGAATTTGAGATTTTCAGCAACGACGTTGAACGACCTGTGAGTTTCTTTTTATTTTATTTTACTGTATGCATCCTCAAATTCTAAAGGGTACCAAGTGCTGTCCAGTTCTTCACAGTGCACTGCAATCTTTAGGATATCCCAGTTGTCGACAGAGGCGTCTGAAAGTATGGATGTCTCTGTATGGCTCTGTGGAAATATCGAAAAATTGGTTTGCCGTTCTTCAAAAATACGTTTGATATCCACGCAGTAAGGTGTGCCTCCGGCGCTTATCGGAGGTGTGGTTGGAGAGGCAGTGACCAACGGATCAATCCACGACCAGAAGAAGGAAACATTGGTGCCACTCAGATTTATGTCGGTCATTGACGATGATAACTTGGAGACGTTTTCTGGTAGTTCTGATATCAACGTGCCTCCAAAGTTCAGATACGCGACTGATTCACTCTCAAAGAGCTCTTTAGGAATGGTTGAAATTAGGTTCAGTGACAACGATAGGTCAAACGGTGCAAGTCGGACTAGTGATTGTGGAACATCTAGAAACTGGCTGGCTTCGATGTAAATACTCGCGTACTGCGGCCACTTCAAGTCCAAGTCTTCAGGTAGAGAACGCAGATTGGTGACACAAAACTCGATGTCTTCTAGTGATTGAGGAAAGTCGTCAGCATGAAGACCGATGGGTATCTCACCATTCGTCATGTTTACGCGAACTAATAACAGTGTGGTTAGCATGGGATGAAATTCATGAGAGATAGCAGCCTCTTGATCCCAACTTGAAATTGTAGAATTGTAGATCTTGAACTCTCTCAAACCACAAAACTCAGTTAGTTTTTCTGGAAGCTCCAACGCCGGGCAATGGCGTACAACAACACGTACTACCGTTGTAGGATCGAATTCACTCCATTGAGTAGTAACTTCATCTCTAGTGCCGTTAAACCCAGAATCGTAGCAATTAAGCTCCAGTAAAGAGCAAAATGGCTGAGATGTAGTCCACGGTTTCACTTGCATCTTGCACTGGGGCAACTCAGGTATGGATCCAGCGTATAAATGAAGAATCATAACCACTAATCCCCAGAGAAAGAAACCAATCTCTGTAGCTTTTCCCACCCAAAAGTGTAGAGATTCCCGATCGACACTTTCGAAATTTTCCTTGATACTCGCCAGGCTAGCGTGAAAGGGGGCAACGACTGTAGCGCGATGGCGAGCGTGAGTTGCACGTCTAACGCGCTTCGTTGGTCTTGCACGGATGAGCTTCTTAATGTTGTTTAGGTTCCCCAGCATACTCAACGCAAATACAAATCGCATCGCTAAATCGCCCCACGAAGCCACTAAGACCATTTGAAACTCGCTCATTGCATGGACCCGCCAGTCGTCTTCATACCATTTCATAAGAGGAAATCCATAGGTTTTAAACTCGAAATCGGGGATGTACATAGCCACTAGTACAGTTGTGATCCCGACCGATGACACTAGATCTAGGACGCAGTCACAGATCAGGGCTAGTAGTCGTCTTTGTGTGGCATGGTTGCGGAAGAATGAGTGTACAAGTGCTGTGCTCCAGCAGTTGAGAACGAGTAAAGCTACATAGCCGCGGTTTAGCTCTCTGCGAGGTACGAGCAGACTCATACGATACGCTTGCTGGGTTTGCAACGCAGTCTCTACAATTTCTCGACACAGTAACACGAAGTCAAAATTTGGTCCATCAACTCCTAAAAATCCGTCTCGCGTGAATACTGCTCGGTAAGTCCAGAAGATACCGTCTTTTATAGGAGCAACAAGAGACCAGTCTTCCCCGAATCCGTCGACGTTGGCTGGAAATTTGATGACATTGTAGATTGCAAACACTACATCTTTTTTCCACCAAGACCATCCGATCATCCAAATAATGTACGTAGCATGAACAATTGCCATAGATAAATGTACTAATGCGATCATACGATGATATTCAGTACCCATCCCGATGTAAAGCAATGCTAGCCATGCATCCAAGCGAGTATCAGGTAGTTTCCAGTAGCCCCAGCCGGCGAACGCAAAATACACGAAGCACACGAAATGAAGAAATACGAAGCCAACCCAAGCAATTTTGAACACAGTGGGCGAGAACTTGTCGGATTTTAAGCGTGCGATACGCTCATGGACACGAATTTGAGCGAGTCCAGGAGCTCTCCCTGGAGCAACACGGTGTGGCATCTCAATACAAGAAGTCGATGGATTTATGCGGCGTTTTTAGATTCGGTATTTCTACAGCTATTCTAGTGTCTAGCGACCACAAATTCACAATAATTAGTAACTACCGGTATTTTATCGTGGTCGTACACATTTAGCGGCGTACCAAGCATCAATCTGTCTGGACGAAAAAAAGAGGTATTAACAATGATCGAATCAACGTTGGTCCTCAGTTTCGTGACAGGGATTTGTATCGTTGAAGCTGGTGTTATCATTTTCCCGGCGCATTCGACTACTGCCGCGTACAACACAAGCTTCATAGTTATATTGGCGATTTGTTTCGAAGTACCTTTCGCCCATTCTAAACTTAGCGGAGCTGATAAAAATACACGTACGATAACTGCATGCTATGGCAAGGGTCGCATTACAGCGCATTGCGATGCGCATCGAGGCAAAACGCGATGTAATGGCCGATCCAATGACAAAGCTCTCGGCATTGACACAGGTATTTGTTACGATGAACGCGAGTGGGTTCTCGCTCTGGTGGTTTATTATTCTCTTGGTGCATCTGACTACGTTTGCCTACAACATGGGCTTCGCATTGTTTTACTGTAATGTGGACGACTGGTATTTAATGTTTGCGCTCGCTCGCCATGGCGTCGGAATGCCATCGTCAGACTTTTGCACCATTTCTTACGTCCACATGGCGTTGGCAGGAGCTCACGGGTTTTACTTGGTGAATATGGTTCTCGGATCTGCGAAGCAACGTACCTTAGTATTTAGGCTCAGCTCTAATACGTCTCGGAACAGTAGAAGCCTGTCAAACGGAGCGGAGTCTAGCCTCATTCATGAAGAAAAAAGTGGAACCAATCGGTGTATTAACTGGGTGTTTCGCACCAAGAAAATCTGTAGATTTATCACTCGTAAGAGGCATGGACTGAGTGTCAACGGTAAATATTCATCCACGACCAAAAAAAGAAATACGCGTGTCCATGAGCTCTAATTGGGTAGCATAGCTCAGCAAAAACGATACGTTTTGCGGCAACTCGCGCAATAAAGTTCGACTCAAACTGGTGTATTGTATGATACCGATTTCGAAGAGTTCTCTGGGCACAGCTTGAATTGGGTTACCGTCCAATGAAAGCGTTTGAGGACGTAAACGCATGAGTGATGGTGGTACTGCTGTTAGCAAACTGTTCTCAATGTAGACCGCGCAACTAGGCCATTTGGAGTCGAGATCGTCCGGCAATGATCTCAGATTCGTCTCTACCAAGTATACCCCAAACACAGTATGCGGGAATTCCGGTGACTGAAGGCCAAGTGGTAAAACACCGTCCGTCATGTTGCTGCGAGCAATGGTAACCGATCCCCATTTCGGATGGTGAATACTGGAGAGTGCGGCGCTGGCGTTCCATTCAACAAGTGTTGTATTGTACACAAAAACCTCTCGAAGTTGACGGAATCGTTGAATGTGCGGTGGTACTTCCATTGCTGGGTAATGTAATATCTGAAGTTTTGCAACTGTACCGTGCTCGAATCGCCCCCACTCTTTGTTAACTTCATCTGTCAGTCCTGAGATCCCAAGCTGATAGCAGTCAAAGTTCACGACAAAACAGGATGGAAGCGCCCCCGCCATCGGATGAGCTTTAGGATTGCACTCAAGCAACGGTGGTCGCAGCGATGCATCAATATGCAATACTAGAACACCTATGCCCCATATCGCCAGCATGATTTGAACCACCTCAAACAGGCCACGACGCCGATACGCGCTCAAATTTCCAAATGATGACCTTCTTATGCCCTAACAATTTGGTTATTGTGAATTTTGCTGACTGTGTGTTCAGTGGTGAAAAGCGTACCAACCGAGTCCAGTTGATTGGTGTCATTATGGAGAGTTTCAGTTGCTATTCGACTGTGCCGCCGTTGAAGAAGGTCTTTCATTTTCCCAGTTCCTCCAAGTAGGCCAATCGAAAAAATTACGCGAATGACCACGATGTCACCAAGACAACTTGTGCTTCGTTCATCATCGTTGCAAACCACTCATCGTCCATCATTTGAACACCAAACCCATTCACGTTGACGTCGTATTGATTTATATACCTCGAAACCACCCAAGCAGCCACACCCACAGTTGACATCAAGTCGAGTGCGCAGTCACACACAACCAACGCGAACCGTCGATACGCTTCATCATCCTTGAACCATCGAGAGTAAATAATGACGGACGACCAGCAATTCACCACAAGCAAACCGACATAAAAGTGGTTTAGATGGGGATGCGAAAGGTACCTGCTCATCCGAATGGCTTGCATCGTCTGAAGAGCTGATTCGACCAACTCACGACAGATAAGAATGCTGAGATAGCATTGGAAGGCTCTACAACTGCAACTATTTATGCTGGTGGATCAACGTATTGTCTAGACCTTGAGAAGATCCTGAGTGGCAACACATCAGCATTTTCGGAGCGATTTCAGATCGGGCAGTCGACGCTCCTTATGAATGCTTCTGAGGGGAACTGGGACATCCTACGTCGAGCCGTTGACTGTACACCAATGACCGAGGTCACGACGTCTCGCCTTACCTATTGGGACCAATTATTTGCTCTTCCTAGACCACTAAGCTTTGTTGGCACTGCTTTACCTTGATTTTTTTTTTCGGATGAAAAGACTAACTAAAATTATTAGAAGCTGTACATGTACCAGAATACCCTGACATTGACAATTTCAGATTTGAAACTGTTTAAAATAGTGGTCATTTAAGCAAAATTGGGACTTGCTTGCCAAAGCTGTTGCCTGCTATTCAGTTTACATGTAGGAAATAAACTATTCTAACGCTAAGGCTATCTCCACTCAAGTTGCTATTTGAGCTTCTATTGCTAAATAGAGAAAATGTTACAATCTGCTATCTCCAGTCGGGGTTGCTATTGCTATAATAGAATAGCAGCTCGACTTTTCATGCTATTCGAGGCCCGAATAGCAACTGTGGTGCAAAAATAGAAACTGGCACAACAGAAAGATCGCGCAGCATCATGGGGAGAGGCAAGAGGTGGTGCGATCAGGAGGACGAGGCTCTGGCTCGTGCGTACAAGGCTGCCGATGAAAACTCCATCTAGGGGACTGATCAAAAGGCTACTGCTTTCTGGGAGAATGTATGCCAGCGTACAGCAACAGCTTTCGGCGGCGACTCTCGGACCTTGCAGGCCATCGAAAATCGCTGCAGCTTAACTTCTCATGACACGGCCAAGTTCGCTGGGTGTGTTTCTCGCGTGAAAGCTCGCAATGAATCGGGGAGGAATGACGACGATGGTGTCAATGATGCTGCTGCATTGTTCCAGGAAACTCATGGAAGTAGGTTCGAGTATTTGTCGTGCTGGATGATCTTGAAAAGCTGCCGCAAGTTTGCTGTGTTTGGCTTACCTGCTCGTCAAAAGCGTAGCCGTGACGCTGTGCCGGAGCCAGAGAAAGAGACTAGTGAGCGTCCCCAAGGACGGGATCAAGCCAAGAAAGCACGAGTTCAGGATTTAGCTTTAGAATCGACGTCATCGCTCCTACGCCAGCTACTCAGCCGTATCACGGAGAAACACGAGAGAGTGCTGGCAGAGATGACGCGTAAAAATGAGTTGCGTGATGAAGAGGTAGCTATTCGCCTTTTTGAGACCTCTTCTAGATCACAAGAAGCAACTCAATTCATGGATTTGTTACGGAAGAAAAAAATTCTACAGCTTGCTGAACAAGTACGCAGTCTTGAGACTGCGCAAATGTTGGCGTCTGCAGAACTTGTCGATGGTGGTTGCGCAGTTGGCCAAACTGACGAGGCTGAAGTTGAAGCAGAAAACCGCGATCATAATTCTGGTGGCGACGTGGCAGCAGACTCAGTGTTGACCTAGGGCCGATCTGGACCCGTGAAAGTTCCAGTAGTGCTCAACAAGCGCATTACGAAGCTCTGCATTATTGGCCTCGTTTGTAATTCGGCTTAACAGAGCTGCATATTGTCTTATATCTTCAGATTCTGTTGGAGGCTCTTCGTGATTATCTCCAAATGCGCGTACCATTTCAACTGGCCGTGAGATACTCGTGTTGACAATTGCTTTACCTTTGTGAAAAATGCGCATGTTATGTAGAATTAAACAGCAGAGCATTACATCTTCCATTTCATTCGGTTTCCACAAACGACACGGCCGATCCAAAATTCCAAACCGCTTTCGCAGCATTCCAAAAGCACATTCAATTTCCTTACGCACTGATTCCTGTACTTCTGCAAAGCAGCGTTCCCGCGGGTTGGATGGACTGGAGTACGCGGCTATCAATATATGCCATGGAGGGTTAATGCCGTCAACAAAGTAGTATGGTTGTGTACGAGTGACTGACTGCAATTGGTACTGCCCTTGCGAGATAACTCCACTCAGGATGTTTGCAATGAAAGGCGAACGATCTAAAACATTAATATCATTTGCCGAACCTGGCATTCCGAAGAAACTGTGCCAAATCTACCTGTCTGCTGTCGCAACAGCCTCCAAAACGACGGTGGGCTTCTTGTTTCTCCCCTGGTAGTAGCCTTTCCAGGCGTTTGGACATGCCGATCACTGCAAATGAAAGCAGTCTAGCGAGCCGAATAGACCAGGTAGGCCTCTGTTGGCGCTGAATTCTAGGATAGTTCGTGTGTCTTCATACAATGGCGGTCGAAGAAACTCACCACCGAAAACCTCGACGACTGCTTTGCAAAACTTCTTGAAGCATGGTGACATAAGTGACTCGCTGATACGGTAGTATGCGTCCTGGGCATCTGCCGAATTTCCTTCTGACAACATGTGAAGCGAAGCGGCAACCTTTTGCTTCACCGAAGCTCCCATTTGGCCGACAGCGTCTGGGTGCTGCTGGAAAAATCGATCGTGAGGTGATAGAGCCGTGCAGAGCCTGTAAAACACGGCTAAAGAGACACAATGCCGCCGTCGAAACTTCTTCTCATCGTACACGGGGTTTTCGCCAAGGTAGTCGCGCATGAGTGCAGCGTGTCCAGAGGCGATGTTACGGGCGCTGGTCTTGGGTCTTCCTTTTTGCGAGCCTTGCCGCTGTGAAGACTGTACTGAACACAGCCCTTGCTCAGCACTTACCAGCACACAGGCAGCGGCAAGAAAGTCGTCGTCGTTATCAAGGTAGGTAAACTTCTTCGTCGCTGCTCTCCATTGTGCTTTCCGTAGGTGAACAAGCAATCTGACGAGTGGAGTCGGCGAGGAGTCGCTATTGCTAAACGTTCAGTCGATAGCAACAGCCAATCACGAATGACCGATAGCAATCGGGATAGCAACCAGGAGTGGAGATAGCCTAAGGCTCAATAAATCAATTTTCAAACGTCGTCAGCCTTGCAACTCTTTTCTACATGTACATCGTCTACGAAAATGTTGAAACTAGTCATATTTTTTTGTTATTGCTGGATCTCACAGACAAAACAGCCAAGGGTGGTGCAAAAATGTTCTTTGATCGTTTTCTAAGTTTAAAAACTGGAAATAAAATGTTGCCGCAGTAACTAAAACTCCGCCTATTTTACCTACTGTCCAGTGTTTCTGGACCAGCAAGCACAGTGTCGCCTAAAGATAGACTGGTCGGTAAAATTACTATAACACGGCCTGGCAACGTTCGTCTTATACCTCCACCAGTCCCCGTCTGATAAGTTCCTTTCGCCGGCGAAATGTGCACGACCATGACGTCTCGAGAGGTTGTGGTAGTATCATTGTGGGAATTCACGTTATGGTGCTTTACGTACTTGGCATGGGGTAATGGATTCCACTCACGTCCTTTTTTGTTCAGCTAGGGGCTGATAATATTAGGATTTCACATCCACGCTTCTGTTCAGCCAACACCTCCACAATGCTTACTGCAAGTACGACCGTGGCTTGTATTCAGACCCACGTGCTTCTTTCTTTGTCTAGATTCCAACCGTCTTGGTATATCAGGACGTATCGATGAAGTGGGCATGAACTGGCAAGAATTCGACAGAGCTACTGTGATCATCATGTTAATTAAAAATTGTCCGTCACTGGATGTGCATAATGTTTTCACGGAGTTCCACCAGCTTATTAGTATTAAGATATATAATACGACAACAAGTGACTGGAAGGAATCAGCTGCCATTACGAACACGAACCAACCGGCCTTCCTTTCGCTTATGTTGGCTAGACTGAACATGACCAATGGTTTGTTGCCCGCTGGGCTTTAGTCTAACCACACCCCGGTTGGTTTGTATTATTTCGAGATGTACATTACGAATCTACGAGCTGATCTCGACTCGAAATGGAATTTAGGATCGGTCGTCTTTATTGAATACTATACAGTCAACTCGAAATGGTTCAAAATGTACTTCTACACATCTGGTCGTCGTGTCTATCCCTTACTGGAAATCCCATCAGCGCACTCCCGTTCGAGCTGTTTGGAATGGGGGAACTGGCGATTGGTTTTACGAACATCGTTGAAATGCCTCGAGATGAAGGACAACTATGGCACCAATATTTCGTTTTTCTGGACGTGGACAAAGGAACTTACACAACATCAGAGTGCGCGCAGGATGCCACGACCGATTATGGCTGGAGCCTCGGTGTATTGCAACGACATTGAGCGGATCTGCACACAGCCTTTCTGCAACGCCTTCTTCAGCTTATTCGTCTGAATTGGTGGACCCCAGCAAAGCCAGAGTTGGTGGTCCTATCTGGTCTGGGGTAGATTACAGTCCCGCGGTGAATGGAGTTAATGGTCCTCTGTTCCCTCTCGCTTCTGAAGACGAACGCAATGCACTTATTTAGTCACTTGATTTCAGTTTTTAACCCCTCCAGCCCGGAGAAATTTTAGTAGTTTTAAATTGCATATGCACCATAATTTGACTTCGTATTTGTATTCAAAGGTTTCGGGTAGGGTAGGGTAATATGTCAGAGTCGGGAATGACTGAGCATGGACAAGCCTAAACTGACGCTAAGCTGAATATTGGGCTCCAAAGTTCTCAAAACAATCCGCATAATGCAGCATAATTTGCCGTATCATAGAAGGACACTGTACAGACACGAGCCACGCACGCCGGTTTATACATTTCATAGAGTTCCAATTTTCGCAAATCTAAACTTGAAAACTTCCCATACAAACGTTCATATTCAAAGATGGGGTGTCGTCCCCATGAGCATGTGCAATCAATTGACGTGTACATTGACCTTTGGGCAATCAGTTGATGCGTGTTCAGCAGGCATAACCAAAAACAAGTAAGTCATCAGCTGGAAAGCCAGCCGGCGTCCCTGGATACATTGGTTGTGATATCGTGTGTTTAGACGTTTGCAAAGTACAATTTGGAGGCACTTAGATTGCATATATTCAGTTTTATATTCAGCTTACCGGTTATATATTCATCCTTCGTCGTTTATTTATGCTAGCCGGAGCAAGAGGTGTTAGCGGCTCGACAGGTGTTCCTGGTGTAGAAGGGGGACCAGTACCCACATTTACAGCACGTCGCACTCTGATACTTCTTCCGGTGTCAGCAGGAACCAGTTTGCCATTCCTCCATTCGCGATGCCAGATATCCAAGCAAGTCATCGCCACCCCACGGATCTGACGACGCGGCTTCATGCACAGGAATATAGGCCCTGACTCGCTGCATTCACTGCAAAAGAAGGACGTTGCCGTAGCGCGTTTATCACTGGCACGTAATATCGAGCAGACCTTGCAAGCTCGCTGTCGACGTTTCGGCTGTTTCCTCTTTTTTTGCCACTCATCGAGCTGTTTCGGGGTGTGTAGCTCTTCGCCTGCGTCAACGGACGTTGTAACTGAGGGCTCTCCACTTGAAACACGCTGGCTTCCAAAGGTGTTCCCTTCGTACATGTCTGATGGCCGGAGCTGGCAGAGCTGCAAGTGCAGCTTCTTCATATACTTCACGTGGCTCAAAGGACGCGAGGTCTGCTGCTTGTGATAGGCCTTATGCACAATGTAGCCATTCACGATCGCGAGGTCGATCAGCCCAAGCACCAGAGACTTATAATATTTTCGGAATCGTACTGCTCGCTGGATAGAGTACCGCTGCAAACGCAACTGATCATGCACGTCCACGCCCCCCATGAAGGTGTGATAATCTTTCACCACTCGCGGGCATGGGACTTCGACCGGATCCGCTCGATCTTGACGGACAATTCTATCCATCTCAAGGCTACCCCCTGTGCACAAAAAGTGAACCGGCCGCGAATCCCACCAGCTGATGGCCGTCATGTTTGGCGCCAGCTTGGACTTAGCAAATTTGAATGATCCCCGATCGATGGTATCAGGCCGAGTCTTCCTCTTCTCAATCACGTTCTTGCAATAGCCCAGCCGGTTTGTCATGATCGTCCCGACACAGTAAAACCCCATGAGTAGAAGTTGAATAGCCAACGCCACCGACGTGTAAAAGCGATCGACAACTACGAGTCGCATTTCTTGTTTCCAAGCACACGAACCAAACACAACAAGAAGATTCCGTACAACCGCAGCCGGTCCTGATTTCATATCGGCAGTGTGAGCTTCGCTGATATGCTGCTTCTTACCGCAGTATACCTCAAACCTATATAAATGCAGCATAAATTTCGTAACCCAATCAGCATTAGTCTGCATTATGCACCATTAGAAAAACTGGAGGCCAAAAAAAAACGTACCGAATGCAGTATGCTGTAACAGCACTGCACATCATGAAAAGCTTGGTGCCCCACTTGTGGGGCTTGGCTTTCATATAGACACGCATCTTATTGAAAGATGAACGACTCGGTAGCATTGCCTTGTCGAACGCCAAGTGCGACGGCGCCACATACCCCCTCTGGAACGTCCTCTGGAGCACTTCCAGCACTTTACGAATCTTCCAAGCTCTGTCGGTTTTTGCTCGTGCATCGCTGTTAGGATTGAGGTGCAAGCTGCGCGAAATCTCCATAAAGCGATCCCTTCGTAACACGAATCCAAAGGCACCACGTGAAATAGCCCCTTCTTCAGTTGTTTTCCAGTGATGGGCAAGCTTTTCGCGGTTCGGAGAGATTGTCCGTGCAATCAGTAGTCCAATAAAGCGGCATAGCTCGTGGGGTTGTATTGGCTTTGATCCTTCCAGTTTAGTCCGGATATCACGTTTGGTCTTCTTTGG